CCAGCCTCAACAACTTAATGCCCTTCCCATTTGTCACTAGATGTGGTGCAAATAAAATGCACAGTGGAGCATTTTGTGTGTGTGTGTGTGTGTGTGTGTGTGTGTGTGTGTGCGTGTCCTAGCACGCGTGTCCTAGCAGGTAGCACTCCATATACAATGTAAAAAAAATTAATAAATTTTGAAGTAGTAAATAGAAGTATTTCTATGTTAGAAATTTCATGTTTAATTCAATGTGTTACTTGCCGTTTATTGTAATTATTTGTGAAATTAACTAGCAATTTCTGAGTGAAAATTGTTTCACCAATTTTTTTCAGTGCTGGATTTTTTAGTGGGGTTTTTTAATGTTATATGTTTATACGTTTTTATATCTTATTATTTATATGCTATTGTAGTTTCTGATAATATTAAGAGAGCTTTTTCAAGATTTAATTTTTCAATTTTTATTTTAATTTGACATTTAATTTTTAGAATTTTTGTGTTTTTGTTGTTGTTGTTATTATTAGTTTAATTTATTATTATTATATTAATATTATTATTATAAATTTAATATATTATTTAAGTTTAGTTTTAATTCAATTTTTTGTTTATTTCCAGTTAGCAATTTCAGTGCTTCAACTTGAATTATCAATTAGTTGCCAATGTGACATTTTTAATACCAGTTTTATATGATTTATTATTTATATTTTAATTTATTGAAATTATTCATTAAAAAGATCCCAGATACATGCTTACTGAAAATGTACATTAAAGGAATTATATGAAAATCTTGTTCATTTTTGCACATTTTATTAGTGTTGTTGCAGGCAGTTTGGTATCCAGTATCCTGTGAGGGTCTCAGTTTGTGATGACTGGAGTGAGTTTGGTGAAGCGTGTGTTGGATCATGTTAGAAGCTGGTTTTAGTGTCCAATCAGACGGATTAAAGGCATTTAAAAGGACTCTGAACTGCAGCTTTAGAACAACTAATTCCCATGTTGTCCTGCAGCCCTCTGAGTCTCTCTCTCTCTCTCTCTGTGTGTGTGTGTGTGTGTGTGTGTGTGTGTGTGCACGTGTTCACCAACACATCTGTCACATCAGCCTCTCTTCTTCAATTTCATGTTTTATTCAGCATGAGTGCCTATTCTGTATCAAGCACACACTCACACTGTCTGTAGAAATAATCGATATAAGGCACTAGTCTGTACTCTGCTGACCAATCAAACGTGTCACATGACTGACCAGAGGAATATTGAGCTGTCAGTCTGATCACTTCACTCTCCTGAGATCCATAAGCCTTTGACATTTAAACAGAAGCTCTACAATCAAGTGCCTTGAAACATTACATAGCAAAATCTATCTATCTATCTATCTATCTATCTATCTATCTATCATTGTATTGTTCATCATTCTGAATCTATCTATCTATCTATCTATCTATCTATCTATCTATCTATCTGTCTATCTATCTAT